TTTTTTTTTTTTTTTTTCATTGCATATTATTTCTTACACATTACGCTCGATAGGTCTCTTACGTGAATCAATATTTATGACGTTAATGTTTTTCTTTTTTAAGTCCTGTGTCGTAATATGCCATGCGACGATGCATGTTCTTGCTGATCTTTTTCTGGACTTTTGCAGCCCACTCCCTTTCTATACATAGACGTGGTCCCTAAATTTACGCGTACAATCGATCAGAATATCCTGCTGCTGCTTAAGTCTTCCTTAGACCCTCGGAGAGAAATACGTGGTTGCACCGTTGTTGCAAACTAGTAATTAGACCATCATAATTACTTTACGACTGTTTCTGAGAGACGTCTCGAATACGAAATTTTCTTCCAGTAATGAGGGTCAGCGACTACCGAAGGAAAAGGCTGGAACCGTACGGAGAGGCGGTGTCGCACGAGCTGTTTCGCCCGGATCACACGGCGAACGCAGCTTTGAGAGCCCTGGCCCAACGAGACGCGATGCACGACTGCGCTGCGTGGCTTGCAGCCGGGAATTCCGTAGCTGTAAGCATCATCGGCAAACTAGACACGAAACCGTCGAAAATTAGTCGGCGAAAGCGCGAAATCGCACTCGAGCTGGCGATGAATCCAGAATCGTAACGAGAACAGGCGCGATTCCCTTTGTCGATGATCGAGAATCATCGACAGGAAAATTAAGGGAAAAACTCGATTCAAGAGAAAGAACAAAAGAACACGTGTCTTTTTGTTTCTGAAGATGTATTCACGTCAGTAAAAATGGATTAGAAGGGGCAGTAGTCGGATTTATACATAGATCACGCTAACGGAGGCCAGTCAAGCGAGTCTGCCTTTCTCCGAGCCGAATCGAACCTCGTCGTGCAAGTTTTGCTTGGTCAATATTTTCAACAACGTGCACTAAGGTTCCACGACGGAAACCGCAATAGTTCACGTCAGTTCATTACTCTGTAGATGGTATATGCGCCAGAAATAGTCGAGAATACTCTGACGAATAACTTCGTTCTGTTCGTTGGCGAATGCCCGATCTCTAAAACAAATTTCACATTCTGGAATTAATTCCAAACTCCTCTTGATTATTTCCAAAATGTTAATTGCAAAGCTCCACGGACTTAACTGTCCGTTAACTCTCTTTCCAAGTATATGCCACATTAATTAAGATATTCACCAAGTAACACGAAATGGGATAAACTCTTTCTATATAAATTAACGATAAGAAGCAAATGTTGTTTGACCATGGATTCGTTTATCACGTGTCGAAAAGCGATTTAGTCTAAATGTAAAAGAAAAAGGAAAAAAGAAACAAGACTGATAATCGACGTGTTAAAATAGATCCCTATTTAAAATGAAACGCGTGGAAAGAGATAGAAACTTGCGCTTGCGAGCCGCCGCAACTAGTTTTAAGAGTTTTCCTGTTTGAAGATCCTGGACGCCACGCTGGTGACACGAGCGCAGCGCGCCGAGGTCTTCGACTATTTTTCCGGGCAGCTCGGTTATCGCGTCCTTTTCATCGAGTGCGTCTGCGACGATCTGGTCGCGCTGGAGCGAAATTACAAGGAGATATTGCGCTACAGCGCCGATTACGCTGGCATGGATCCGGTCAGGGCCGAGGAAGATCTACAGCTGAAGATAGCTCATTACGCGGAATCCTACGAGCCGATGGACGAGAAGACCTATCCGCGTATCCGCATAGACACGGCGAGCATGGACATCGAGGCTCGTAAAGTGTCTGGCCACGTGGAGACGAGCGTTCTTGGATATCTTGGAAGCGTCATGATCAAGCCGCACACTCTTTACTTCTCTCGGGTTGGTAATCGAGCAAGTTTAATACAGTCGACCGGTTACTCAAACTCTTTTAGTCTAATTCCAACGCTCCGAGTCTCTTAATATTTCTCAACGATAATAATGATGATATCGAGATGTTTTCAAATGGCAACGTGATGCGTCACTGAGTTGAGCCAGGTCGTGGCTCGTTCATAATTATTGCATCAATTAACGTATCTGAGCAAGAAGTATCTTCATCTCGAATTGTTTCGATACAACGCGCGTTAAAAAAAGAAAAAAACACGAGCTCGCGTTTCGAGAAACTGGTTATCTTATCGTGATTCGTTCTTCGAGGAATTAGGCGATCTCTGTCAAATTGAGATCTCATCGCCGTGTTTCTTCCCGAGAGATTGACATTTCTGCTGCCAAGTAATAATGGCAAATTTTACTCAACACTCACAGATTTAAATTTTACATTCCATATTTACTGCCCTCCCCCCACCCCCGTGACAATTGAAAAGTAAGTAGAAACTTGAGCTTCTCTTCTGTTACAGCACGGTGAAAGTGAGTACAACGTGTTGGGTAAGGTCGGCGGTGACGCGGTTCTAAGCGCACGCGGCGAGAGATACGCACAAGCGTTGGCCACCAAGTTCAACGCTATGCGCATTCCTGACTTGCGCGTGTTGACCAGCCGTCTTCGAAGGACTATCGCCACTGCTCGTGGCGTGGAGGCACCTCAAGAACACGTGGCAGCACTCAACGAGCTTCACGCTGGCATCTGCGAGGGTCTCTCGTACGAAGAGATGCAGGAGCATTATCCTCAGGTAAATTCGACATCAGACACGTCC